CTAGCATTGATTTTCAAAGGAACAAAGTCATCAGCTCTTGTTTCGCCTATATTTACAATTGCAGTCATGGCACCTGCCTCATGAGCCGCCCTGCAAAAAGTTATATAGAAAGCTTCTCAATGAGATGCATAGTCCGAAACGGTAGAGATTAGTCTCTTGCAATACGTGACAAGGCAAAAAGCGGACAGTCATTTCATATACTATTCTCAAGCATTACCTGACAAGGCGAAAAGCGGACATTGTCATTAAAGAGGAACCCAACACTAGAAATGCATCACTCTGTTTTGCAACTTCCATTGCATGAATGGCTCTATCCTTTGGGAGATTGTCTCCAAAGAAGATTACCTTGAGAAAAACCAAAACGAATATTAAGAAACAGAAGTAAAATATCTGCCTCAATTTCATGCCATAAAATTGATCTTACATCGGGTTTTAGCACTCCTTCACACTTTTCGCATACTGGTATATGAAAACCTTCTTCCCAAAACTTTTCATCAATCTCAATATCACCATCAGGCCTTTGTTTCATGCCAAAGCTCTTCTCTGATCCTGGATCTCCATGATCAATACTGTCTATTGCTTCTGCCCACTACAGTAGAAACAATAACGTTCTTCTAACCTTGCGAGATGTGATATACCAGTTGATTCGGTTTATGGTATACACTGACCTTAGGATTGAGAGCTTTAAGTTGATCCTGAAAAAAGTCTCGGGGAAAAGAGAAGCCACAATCTAAGCACATAACTGTATATACTGTGCCATGTAATTCAAGTGGATCACTTCCAGCACGATGATGCAACCTGAGGGCTTAGAGCTAAGAGTCAACAACCATTTTTGCATCCAACAGAGATCCCACAAAAGATCTGAGAAATTTACCTGTCAACGTTTTGTGTAATCATAAAATTTATTCGTCCCGCTTTTTCCAGCGATGCTAAAGCAGTATGAGCTGGTCCTGGTTGTGCTGCAGTGAACCGTCTCCATCCAGCATAACTCCTTGCCCAATATCGCCTACGAGCTCGGCTTGATCGAACAAATTCCTGTGGAAAAGAGGTTGTAGACAGTATATTAAGACAACAACATCATGCTTCAAAGCTTGCATTAAGCATCATACTGAATACATAGATCTTGCCTTCAGATCACCTGATGGGTAATTGGTTTGAAACCAGAACTGTATGCTCCATTGGGACTGCACCAAATAATCTCACTCAAAATTATAGCAAAATGGAACCAGAGATGTAGCGGAAGGGAACATGGAAATCAAGAATCTTGATCAAATGCAAGCCATTTCAGACAAGACCAATAGATCAAATGAATAAACATAATAATAACCTTCTATAATCAGGAATCCCACATTCTGTGCTAACCCCAGCTCCGGTCAAGATGGTGAGTCTCGAACTGCACAAGAGACGACGAACGCCATTAGATTTACAGATCATTTCATACTCACTTGTGACATAAAAAATGGTGTAGTAACATCGACCTTTGCTCGAAAAGACGACACAACTTATGGATATCTTCTTTCTGAGGAGGATCAGCATCAGGAACTATCTTTTTATCCCTCAGAAACTTTGGAGGTGCTTTTAATTCATTTCCCAAAGAAACACCAGGGATCGAAACGTGACATGTTGTTCTCACAAACCGTCTGCATCCTTTAAACACCATCGCCAATTTTCCTCTAGACCGCAATGGTTGACACATAATATGCAACGGAAACAAATCTGAAAACAAGAACACCTTTGCAACATTAACTCCATTGCGTAGCTAAACAACGAATCGAACTAGCTAGACCAAAAAGATGAGCAAGAAAATTCCCATCAAGATTTTCTCACACTTGCCTGTAGCAACACCTCCAAACACTCTTCTCATGCTCACGAAATCCTAAATCCTCAACTTTCAACACATTCTACATGAAATGGTATTACAAACAACATGTTAAATGCAATCACTTTTTTACATCAAGGATCAAAATTTGACCAGAAAACTGATGTAGAATATGAATCCATTTTAATAAGCATAAAAAAATTTCACGGAAATGGTACTAAAATTAAGCCACCGATCGAGTTTCACCGACAACAAATTATGTAAGTAGAGAAGACCAACAATTTCTCCACAAACCCAACAGATTTATCATAGAAAATACACATTTCGAAACCCAAGCTAGTGCAAAAGACTGAAATGAATAATCACATGATAATCAAAGGATTTCTCAATTACAACGAAAATGGGAAAGAAAAAACACGAAATTCCGAAGTAAATAGCTGTTCTCATGACGGAAATTCAGAGACTAACGAAGCTTTCAGGAGCGAATAATCGAGGGTTGGAATTAAAAATCCAAAAACGTAACAGGGATGTCTCCTTATGAGATACCTTTGAGAGGTCGTTAATGGCGGATTTAACGAGATTTCTTCAGTTTTTTATTCAATTTATTTCTCCAGGCAAAAAAAAGAAGAAGCAGAGGTGGCAAAAATCGGACGTTGGAACTCATTCTTGACTGAGCAAGTAGCCACGTTGCGTACTTATCCACCGTTCAATTGTTTCACTTAACCAAACGGCGTCGTTAAAGGAAATAAAACAAAAACCTAAATTGCTGAAGAAAACAAAAAAACTACGATTCGTCGCCACTGATTCCTCTTCGTCTCCGACGATTTCTTAACTTCTCCGACGTGAGTGCATACTCCATTTCCGATTGAGATCTTGTTAGTAGTCTTGTTTCAATTCTGTGTTGTACTGTTCCTTATGATTTCAAAAGATTTAAGGATGTAGTAGTTTTGCCTAAGTTATTCGATTCTGTTCTACCTGATGCTGTTTTTTTTTTTTTAATCTCGAAATAATCTTTTGTCGTTCTTCGTGATTCAGCTAAAGGAGTCTTGACTTGTTGATGGAATTTTCTTCAGAATTGACTTCACAATCTCTGGTATGTCACTTAATGCAAACTCAAATGATGTTGTATGGGAACACTTACTGGGAAATGCTCTTGCTTTTGATAAAGATAAGTCAGAATTCTCGACGGAATCAGTATGGTTGATAGTAGTAGTGATTGAGAGATGTTTAACTTATGGTTACAGAGCTGAAAGATTCTTAGAGTTGGAACAGAAAGATGCCTCACAGAACAAGGCCTTTGATGGGACTCTTGCTTTTCACTGGAATAAACTTTGTGTTGGTGCAGACCATTACTCCAGTCTATGACTTTGTCTGCTTCTTGCCTTACTGGGAGAGAAGGGTATGTTGTAGAATTACTCTCAAACCGCTTTCTGTTTTCGCTATGTTCCAATGTCTCCATGTGTGTAGATTAACTCTTCTGGTTGATGATCATGGTAACTAATTCTGATGCTTTGAGAGAGTAATTTAGCCACCGTTTCTTAAAGACTCGAATCTCTTTTGCCGGTATATTTTCTTCATCTAAGTGCAAGCCTCTGAGAGCTACTTGTCAGTTCATAAAGTATCTTCATATGTTATTAGCTGCAAGTAGGACTAGCAGTAACGTCGTAGATGCGTTCGCTTCTCGAGTAGATTTTACTTGAAGCAAGTCATATAACTAAATGCCGAGTCGGTTAGCTAACTATTCAGATCCAAGTCTGGTCCTCAGAAAGAGGTCACATGAGTTGATTCTTGGTGCTAACTATCTTTACTTGCATAGGTAGCATGCAGTATACCTCATATTTTGTAAACTAACAAATTAGATCATGATTTAACGATCAACATGCGCTCACTACCTGAATTGTTGTTCAGAATTACATGTTCCCTTATAAGTACTTATTGCACTTGTTATATTCAACATCGTCGTCGCTGACTAACATCAGTTTTTTTGTTTCTCTATCGTGTACATTGATTTTCTATAGAGAGAGCGAATCCGGCAAGAGCGTGAAGCTGCGGCTTCGTCATCAAACAGTACAAACTCAATGCAGAAAGCTACTCAAGCATCTGTTGGATGATGAACTCTCTGCATGCATCTTCTCAATGTCTCAATCAGAATTTGTAAGAAACTATGTACCCTCTGATTCCTGAATAATTGAGAGCACAAAGAAGGCATGCTGTTTTCACATTTCTGCTCTGAATTTAGATTCAATAGTACCAAACCTTGAAACTTTCTGGGTTGTTTTCAGACATGTGCCTTAATCGTGTAGATACTTTCAAAGATTCTGATCATTTCCAAGATCCAAGAACCCTACATGTTTCTGATAAGTGAGGTAGTGTATTAGAAAGGGGAATATACATATACAATAATTCTTTTTTTGGTGGACATCTTAATTTTACTATTGAGGAGATTCTCTTTTATGCTTAACCATCCAAATTGGTCCTTTTTCAACTTCACTTTGTGATATAAAAATCATTGAAACGTGAGTGTCACTTTGATTCAAATTCCATTTTACCATCACTACATTTTAATTCAGCACCCATATTGAGTTGAACTCAGTAATAGAGAACATAAAAAGCACACCAATATAATTTATAACATATTTTTGAAATGTTATTACATAGATGGAACCATACGAAATGAAACTTATCACTATACACATTTTTCAGTTTCTTTTCCAAATGCTTAAATATAAAACAATAAACTTTACACATCAACTTTCTTTTGTTCTTGGTCCATTATCATCATCATTCATCAATATGTAGACTGGAAGGGTTTGTAGACCTTAAGATCAAGCATTACTCCGGCGATTGAGCCAACTCCGGCAACTATCGAAATCATAAGGCAAGCAACACTTAGCATCTGTAAAGACAACCATTTTGTGCTCCATTTCTCGATCTTCCTCTGCTTTATGTACATCTCCACCGGAAAGTAAACCGTCAAGGGCCAAAACCCTAATGCTCCTAAGATTCCGACCACGTCGTTGAAGAACGGCATTAGCATCGATATTACGGTAGTTACAAGGACAAACGAACACCGGAAAACCACCCTAAAAACGTTTGATTTGTATGGAGACCTAAATCCGGGGATTTTGATTTCGAATTCCTTGGTGAGCAAGTTGTTGTCTGGAAACCTCTCTGAGACCGATTTTTCAACAAAGGCGAAGATGGGCTGAGAAAAGACTTGGTAAGCTCCAATGAGGTGGACAACAATGGCAGCGTTGGCAATGTCGAGAAGCCAAAACGGATTGTAGAATCCGAAGCCCGTGAGGAGGTTTCCGGGTGCTGCATCTCCAAAGGCGGCATAACCCATTGAGCCACATAGCATGTAGAAGACAGTCGTTACGGCAATGCTGATTTTTGTAGCTCTCTTCATCGTTTTCGATTCCGCCGGTGGAGATCTCACAGTGTCCTAAATACACGAAAACAAAACAAAGAAAATCAAGACTTTAACCCCAAAATTGAATCTTTTGTCCAAAGAAAGGTTTTGTGGTTTGTGTTCTCTTACCTGAATCTCGATTAGGACAACAGAGTATGAGTAAGCAAAGGCAATATCTCCAAGTGCTTGAAAGCTTCTCCATATCTTCTGTGTTGGAGTCACTGTCCCGATGCTTATTCCGGTGAGACTTCCTTTGAATACTCCATTTGCTGAGAAATTTGAGATTCAAGATTTAGCATGTTGAATCCTCTTAAAGATTGTGAGAGTATTTTGAAGTTCATTTTCACCTGCAACTTGAACGATTCCGAGAGCTAGACCAATGGCAGAGTAAGTGAAAGACATAACAGCTGCTACAATGGAGATCCACCAAATCTGGTCGAAATCAGGAATCTGAGAGAGTAATATCTCTGTCACACCAAATATGATCATATACGGGTTGCTCGACATGTGACATGGGTCTTTTCCTCCGCTCTTGTGGAAACAATTCGATCTCTTGATCGCCCTGCACGATCAGTCCGAGTAACCAAACTTTAAAACCTTTTTCTTCATTATTTGTCTGAAGTATGTTTCGAAAAGAAACTCACATCATGCTTATAGATGCTGCGATTGTGTAACCGATCGCGATACCAAAGAGATTCAAGTATTGAATCAGCCCACAAATCTTGAACTTGAACCCACCTATAAGAAAAAAAAACGAGCTTTCCCAAAACTCAGAACAGAAAAACAGAGCATTACAAAACAATAGAGCATTTTTAATTGAGTATTTGATACCGAGGATTGATCGAACAGCGTCCATGTAAGTGTAGTTTCTCTTGCCAGAGACCGCATCGCCGGTTCTGTAGCAATCGCTAAGGAGTGTGGAAGAGTAGAGAGTAACGAAAGAGAACAATAGCATCACTGTAGGTCCAGCGATCCATCCGAGCTGTGCAATCGCCCAAGCCAATGACAAAACGCCGGATCCGATCACCGCGGTTATTATATGAGCGCTTGCGGTCCAAACAGTCCCTGGAACAAAACCACG